TGACTTTATGCTGCTACATTTCAGGGTAGCAGTAGGGTTTTTTCCACGGAAGTTGGCATTACAGATGGCACTGAACTTTGGTAATGTCTCTAGCCCTTAAAAAAAAAAAAAGACTGATTCTAGAAGCAATTAGTTGTTCCTGTTGATGTAGCTTCACAACTTAATACTTATGGCAATAACTCTAGCTTCAAAATTGTCTTGACAAATTTGAAAAAAGAACTGAAATTCATTAAGAACAAATGTGGCATATTACAGTTGAGTGGTACTAAATTAAAGGACTCCTGCCTGTCCACTCATCCAAACATGTGCTGCCAACTTTGGTTTGGAAGGTCAAAGGCTACAGTCTGGACTTGGCCAGAGTCCTGAGGTTTTAAGTCTTCCTATCAAAGATCTTGTACTTTGATATTGTTTATAGCAAAGCTTACTACCATGTGGTTGTAAGTAGTGCACACTGGAAGTGGGAAGTAACTACTGAGGAAAGAGACAGAAATACTTTTAAATTTATGTTGGCAAACATTTACTGTATTATTGCTATTCCTGAATGCAATGCTTTCTAAAGTCAACCTCAGCTGAGAGCACTTTGAATTTATTCCTGTTCTATAGACACTATGAGAGTATGAAGTATTCTTGCCTCCAAAACAAGACTGTGTGGTACTTCCTGCCTGACTCTATTTGAACTGTAGGATTGTTTTGGTTAGAAAAGACCTTTAAAATCAGAGTCCAACTGTTGACCTAACACTGTCAAACCCACCACTTATCTAAACAGCACATCTGCCAGTCTTTTAAATACCTCCAGGGATGGCAACTCAGCTACTTCCCTGGAAATCCTGTTCCAGTGCCTGACTTCCCTTTCAGTGAAAACCTCCCCTGGAACAACTTGGGGTAATCAAGAAACCTTCAATCTTACCTGCAGTGTTCACAAACAAAGATAATTATGCATGAGTGATGCTGCCTTATATCATGTTCTTGGCATGATGGAGTGCTTTTCATTAATATCAAATCTAGATGAGATGTACTTTGTGCTTAGTTAGACTTGCTCACCAAAATACTTTTTAGACTTCTTTTTATCTCAGCAACCTGCAGGCGTATCAAGCAGATGAACTAAGAAGTTTGTTTTCAGGTACAGCTGATGAGGTTGCTGAAGTACAAACCTGAGTACACACAGTACATACTTGCCCTGTCACAGTGCATCCTCCTTGTAGTTTGTAGCTACTAAATGTAGCTACATGCTGAGTACAATGAGAACTTTTATGCTGTTGAGTCATTCACAAAGACATACTTGTCTTTTTTCTTATCTTACTGTGCTTATGCTCTGTTCTGATAAAATAACATTCTTCAGGGCCTCAGTTCTTAAGACTAGAAAAGCAGCTAAGATATAGCTGAACATCTGGAGGCAGAGAGGCCAGTCAAAACCAAATTAAGAGATTCTGACTCATTCACAAGGCGTTGTAGTTCTTTGATTTATACTTCGGTTTTTCTCCTGTGATGCATCATTTCATTGTGTGCTTGGATCAGCAGCATGTCTTCCCACAACCTTGCAGTAAGTCAAGCTTTTAATCATTAACATTTCTTCTTCCTCAGAAACTCTTTCCAAGCAGAATTGTTTTAATTGCAAATGAAAGTAAAGGTGGACGATAATGGAGGCATAACAGAGTTGTGAATACTGCCACCCAACCCTCTTGATTTTTGTCTGATTATGATGGAAAACTTGTAGTAAAATTCACTTGTATGTTGTGCTGATATGGTCAAAATATCAGCATTTTAAATTATTCTCACTGCTACTGATAAAAATTGATAAGCACAAATACAGGCTGGACAGAGAATGGATTGAGAGCAGCCATGCAGAGGAGTAGTACTTGGGAGTATTGGGGGTGAAATGCTCAACATGAGCCAGCAATGTGCATTTGTAGCCCAGAAAGCCCGTCGTGTCCTGGGATGTGTAAAAAGCAGCATGGTCAGCAGGTCAAGGGAGGTGATTCTCCCCCTCTACTCTGCTCTTGTGAGACCCCCACTGTGGTATTGTGTCCATGTCTGAAGGCCCCAAAATAAGGACAAGGAGCTCCTGAAGAGAGTTCAGAGGAGAGGCATGAAGATGATCACGGGGCTGCAGCATGTCTCCAGTGATGACACTGAGGGAGATGGGGTGGTTCAGCCTAGAGAAGAAAAGGCTCTAGGGAGACCTTATAGCAGCCTTCCAGTACCTGAAGGGGCTACAGGAAAGCTGGGGAAGGACTTTTTACATGGATTTGTAAATGGAATGAGGGGGAATAGCTTTAAAGTAGAAGAGGAGGTAGATTTAGGTTAGTCATTATGAGGAAATTTTTTAGTGTGAGGATGGTGAGACACTGGAACAGGTTGCCCAGGGAGGTTGTGGTTGCCCCCCATCCCTGGAAGTGTTCAAAAGGCAGGTTGGATGGGGCTTTGAGCAACCTGATCTGGTGGGAGGTGTCCTTGCCCATGCAGGGGGGGTGGAACTAGATCATGTTTAAGGTCCCTTCCAACACAAACCATTCTGTGATTCTATTTAATAAGCAGTTTTTAATATTTTTGAGACGTATTCATATAAGTTTAAAGTTATCTGAATTGTTTTGTAGTTATGTGTATCTCTGTGTAGCTTCCTGGAGGAATTTGTGTGTAAAACCTATTTCAGAGATTTGTATAGAGTGTATTCAACAGAGATTTGTATCCGGCTTCATCTATAGCTGTGTTTGTAAACATGCATCATAGCATTTTCCCTTCATGTCCTACAGGTTAGTATCTGCTGGAGCTACTAAAGTTTATGCCATTCTTACTCATGGCATCTTTTCTGGTCCTGCAATTTCTCGGATTAATAATGCATCATTTGAGGCTGTTGTGGTAACTAATACAATCCCCCAAGAAGAGAAAATGAAACACTGCCCAAAAATCCAGGTACAGTGGTGTTTGCGTCATCTGTTTTAACTCAGGGTTTGTGTTTTACTGTTCGCTGGTACTAGAATTTGTGCCTTGAGGAAAATATTGTTCTAAAATACATTGTGCAGCCTTGAGGTTTGGAGGACATCTTGCTGAAACATGCCAAAGAACTGTTTTAAGTGGATTTGAGTAGTACAATACAGTATTGCAAAATATTTGATATTTGCAACAGATTGGGTGTGCTTGACTTTGATAGAGGGGCAAATGTAAAATTGGCTGGGTTTTTGGTTTCTCATTTATATTAATGATACAATATTTATATGTAGAGACTTCACTAAAGATTGTAGATGCCACAGAAACCCTAGATGATTTCATGATTTTTTGTAAAATACACTGATGAAAATGCTCCATGTAACAGTAACATGTTTCTTATAAAAAAACAAACTGAAAATACAAAGCTGATGTATGTTAGTAGCTTTTACATTAGTTTGTTCTGGGAAGTCATGTGTCCCTCTTGGAGTTTTTCCTTCATACAGAGTGGAGGGAAGCATGAAAGGTTGGGTTTTAATGCAACACTGACTTTTAAAAAAGCTTCAGATGTATTTGGTATTTATTTAAACAAGGCAAGCACTTAAAGGAACCTCCCTTACACTGTTGTGTCAAGTGGACACTGCCATCTGATGGCTGGAATAGCCTCCTTTTTTTTCCAACATGCCATGTGCCAGAAGTCTTCACTAGTAGGCCTGTGCAGTGGTCTTATTCGATGCTTTCTTACTCAGTTTTTGAGTATGTGTTTTGTATTAGTGTTGTTCTTTTGTACATTAATTACCTGATGTTTTAATGTTGTTTTATTTCCTAGAAAGAGGTCACAGGGGACAATGGTAAATTGAATGTTTGTAAACTGTATTGTTTATTGTTCTTGGCATCCCATAGAATCTTCTTGATTTTTCTTTCAGTTTATTGACATTTCCATGATCCTGGCTGAGGCAATTCGAAGAACACACAATGGTGAATCTGTGTCTTACCTCTTCAGTCACGTCCCCTTGTAACGGCAGGAGGTTGCATCTTTGCAAAGGTCCCTTCAACTAGCACTGTTGTTTTTAACAATATCTTAACCACAAGAAATTTGTACCTTTGTACAATTTCAGAGCTTGTATGTTTAATTATTATATTTGTCTTATAATTACTGCTTTTTCTCTGTATATGGGCAATAAATCTCCATCTTGCAGAAACTATTAATTCCTTTGAGAATGTGGAAGCCTTGTGTGTTGTGTATGTGCCTATCCTCACTTTGCACCAGACTGCTGCTTCAGATATGTTTTTCTAGACAGAACTACATACTGTATCTAGAATTTAAATGGAAATATGCATGCCAGATCATTTTCTGTGTTAAACTAAATGCTGCAGGCTTGGGTATTTTGTATCTATTCATCTGTCAGGCAAGCAGCTGTTGGGTTTTGTTTTGTTACACTTAACTACCACGAACAGTATTTTGTATGCCCTAACAGAATGTAAACTTCCTGTTAATTTTGAGGAACTGCTGCCACATCCATAGTATTAACTGTTTCATACACTTCATGTTCTCTCTTCCACAATTATAAATGTGGCTGCTGCTTTCTTTTGTAAAGCTCTCATTATATTAAATAATTTGCTTAACATCTTTTCTTGGTAGTTACTGACTTCTGCTGCAAGATTAATGTTTCAGTATTCCTGGGATGATTCATTTAATGTGTTTTGATAATAAGGACCAACATTTAATCTCTAACACTGTTTAAAATTTCATTTTTCCTTGTAGTTTTTGACATGCCTTGATTGTGATCATATGGATAAATTCATAGCAGTTTTCCTGTTATTAGTGTAAAGCTTCAATATGCAAAGTCCAAACAGAAAATTTAAACACATTTGTATTTATACAAGCTGGTCTCTACCACTTTTACTTGATTAAAAATATTTGAAAATACTTTTGGTCTGTGTTTGTTTTTTCTTCCAGCTGTACAGTCAGTAGAGCTTCAGGTTTCTCTTCCTAAGTACTACAGGTCTTAATTGTGCTACCAATGAGCTGTGATAGACTAACTAGTCTTGAATACTTTAACATTACATAATTAAAATAATTATGAAAAGTGTCTCTTGAATGCCAAGAAAACTTACAGTTAAGTACAGGTAAATGCAGTCAGTAATGGACTGGGGGGGGAGAGGCAAATCTCATGTTGTAATTTTAGATCTTTGAATCCTACAGTGTTACCTGTTTTCCTGCTAGAAAGCAAAAGGTTTTGTGTATTGAGATAGTGTTCCTGCACTCCTGCACCTAGAAAAATATGGGAAAACTCCAGTTTCCTAGCTGAAATTGCAGTTCTATTTACAAAAGCATTGCCTTGCTTGAGAGATTCTTCTTTACTGTGGAGCTGCATAAGAACTTGTTTTATTTCATCCTACCTTGCATATTCTGGGATATATTTTTAATGATACAATGTATTACAAAATGGATTTTTCCATTCCATTTAAGACAGTCTTCAGACAGACTATTTTTTTGTTTTTTCTTAGAATGAATCTATTTTTGTCTTGATAATTTTTCCATTAATTTTTGTTTCTTCTGTGAGTTTATTTCCTATATGAAAATCTGCCAAACTCACCACCCATTCTGTCCCCCATTGTGCTGTATAGGCCATATATTCCAGAAGAGGCCGTACTACACTCCCTTTGTGATGTCATGGCTATACATTCCATTGAGGGCCATATGGTCTCCCTTGTGTGATGTGGTGGCTATTCATTGCCATACATTCCATAGAAGGCCATACTATGCTTCCCCCACCCCCCCCCTCTCCCCTTGGGATTTCATGGGCATAGATTCCATAGATGAGCTGCTAATAGTGCCTCCCTTGTGAGGTCATGCAATACATTCCATATAAGGCCAAACTTCTTCCCCATTGAGATGTCAGGGCCATATATTCCATATAAGACCATCCAGCTGTCTAATGTGATGTCATATGGCCCCTTCCATGGAATATATGGCCATGACCTCACAACGATGGCACAATATGGACTTTCTTGGAATGTATTACCATGACATAAAAAATAGGGGGGCAGTATGGCCCTTTATGAAGTACATGGCTATTACATCACCATGGGAGGCAGAATGGCCTTATGAGGGATCTTTGGCCATTATGACAGATGGGGGGGGGGGAGGGGCTGAATGGTCTTCTATGGAATGTGCAGCTGTAACATCACAATGGGGGAGGAGTGTGGTCTTTGATGGAATATATGGCCATGACATCAGAACAGGGGGAATGTATGGCCTTCTATGTAATGTATGGCCAAGATATTACAACATGGGGAACTATGGCCTTATATGAAATATATGACCAAGTTGGTTTTTTGCTTTCTGGTAAGAGCCCTGATACAATGTGAACACTTACATTGTCTACTCCCTCCAAGAAGGATGGAGACCAAAGCCTGATGCTGGTTTAAATGTTCTCAAAGCAGCCCTCTCACAGCTCCACTGACTTGGGAACAAGATTATTTCTTTGCTGCTTTATGTTCACCTGCTTTGTCAGGTACTGGAAAGTGCCCTTTTGACAACATCAAAGCTTTCACTGGTTACTCCCACAAAGAAGGTCGGAGACCAAAGCCAGATACTGGTTTAAGTGTTCTCTTTACAGCTGTCTCAGATCCATACAGAATCTATTTTCTTTCAGAGCTGAATGCAGAAATGGGGTATATAGGATATTGACATGAGAATTCAGTTTAGTGACTAGTTCTCAGAGGAATTCTTCATTACAGTTGAATTTTCAAAAATACATTAACACAGAAAAAAGTAATTTACATTGTTTTTTTATTTGATATAGCAATTTTTAAAATGTAAGATTATTTAACCTGTTGTCTTAATGACTAAGTAATATTTTTAAGGTCTTAGACCCAACTCTCTAGCCACATAAGTACATCAAACTTTAGACCTTATTACTATGTAAAAATGTATACAATGTTTACTGCACAGTATAAATTCAGTCGCTTTATAGATCAGATCTTTGCTACAAATAAAATTCTGATATAGTTGCTTTTTCTGTGCACAAGTATTGTAAATGAAACTTAAAAATTACTTGTGCAAAGAGGTTGCTTGTGTTTTTACTCTCTTGATCCCATTTTTGGAGACCACACCCTGCGCAGGTTAAATTGGAAAGAATATTGGCATTGATGCTCATGCTAACCTTGCACATAAATCATGCTCCAGCTGTCCTGGATGTAAGGATGAACTGTTAATCACACCAGACTGGTACACATCTTTATAATAAGATCATCCTTCTCTTTCTCTTTATAGTCTGACAAGAATGGCACAGTGTTTAAATTTCACCAGAGTCTGAGTTAACACTTTATAAGCAGTTCTTCTTATTTCTTGGACTGTTGTAAGCCAACTCACTCAACTGTTTTTAACAGGGTGAGATGGAAGAAGAGCAGAAGGAAAATGCAGAGTCAACCTTACTTTGTCTGGTGCATTTTGTCCATTTGATGTGCTTAGGAGGAGTTAGAGGTGAATTCCAATAGCTCTGTGAAAAAATCCATCCATTTCAACATAATTAAAAGGTATGATAACAGAAAATAGTGAGGTGTTTGGTGTTTAATGCTCTGTTCTCCCTGGTTCTTGCTGGGATTCTGATCTGAAGATCAGATGATGGTTCAGCCTGGTGGGTAAGCAAACGTGAGAGTTTCCGACTGGACATTATGAAGTTTTTTGTTTTGTTTTGTTTCACTGAGAGTGTGATCAAACACTGGAACAGCCTTCCTAGAGAGGGGTTTGATGACCCAACCCTGTCAGTGTTCAAAAGATATTTGGATAATGTTCTTAATAACATTCTTTAATTTTTAGTCAGCACTGAATTGGTCAGGCAGATGGACTAGATGATCAATGTAGGTCCCTTCTAAATGAAATAGTCTTCTCTGCTTTCTTTTTGGGGCTTTTTTTGTCTTGTCATTTTTTAATTTTTTTTTATTTTTTTGTCTTGTCTTGTTACATGGTGCCTTTCCTGTCAGTAAATTGTTTCAACCTGTTGTAAAAACCAGACTGTCACTCTTGGCACTGGCATAACCTGGAGTAGCCTCAGCTTTCTGAAATGGGAAAATCTGTCTCTGAGATGCTAGTGGCTCCCCTGGTCATATGTTATGGCAGCAGGCAGTTGAGAAAGCTCATAGCACAGTCTGTGAGGGTCTCCTCCCTCACCAGGGCTCTGAGAGCATCCTCTGATCTTGTAGGCCTGTCTTCTCTGCTGTTGTCTTCTTTTTATTGTTTTGGTTATTTTTAGTGCCTGGAAATGCATTTCTGTAACTGTTATCAGCAGGGATT